ACATCTCTTTAAACCCAAATTTATTACCTAAATTACCCTTTCAAACCCAATTCAAAATGTAAATTTATCTTTACACTCATTTCCTTTATAAAATAATATCTCTAATTGATTCTTTTTTTCTTCAAAAAGGCATCCTTTGCCTCTGTATAATTGCATATGACTATCATTTCCATGGTTGTTTTTTTTTTCTTTTACCAAACCCATCCATAGACTTGGGATCCAAGAGATCATTCCATAGATTTGAATTTGCCAGAGAATGCAATACAAGCTCCAGTTCAGTCTATCACTTTGCCAAAAAAACATTTGACCTTGATGCTTTGGATTTGGATGGAGACATGACACCCGCTTGCGAGTGGTCAAGGTTTATGAGGTTGGGCAATCGTTATTTGCACCCAGAATCAAATTATATGTCTTTGCACTACTAATCAAAAGTCCTTGCAATGGTGTTTTGGGGGCAGACAGACGGTAGATAAAAAAAATACAATATAATATAATAAGTATGAAATTTAATCTAAAGAAGAAGCAAACAAACAAAATATCCATAAATCGAATCATGCCTTAGTTGGGCGATTCAAAACTTCAAAATCACTATCTATCAATAAAAAAAGCTTGTTTTTCTCTATCAGAACTATTAGGGTTTTAGTCAAAATTGACGTATGATAAACAAATGATGATGCTAGGGTTTAATTATAGTGTATGGGTTTATTGAGAAATTTGAGTTTTATTATTAATTTCATTTTGTACTTAATAGTCACTATGCAATAGGGTAAAATAAATAATTAACATTTAAAATTTAAGTTGGGTGTAGAAAGATGTTACATGAGTTTAAATAAAATTTCACAATGAATAAATATGGCTCTAACATATTCAAAGCTTTTTGAATTGACCAAAATGACCTGCAGTAATGCAAGAGAAGTCATCTTCGATAAGAGTAGTTGAAACTTGAAAAGACCATCTAAATGCATGAAACAAGCGGGTGATTTTTGCACTTCACTTTTTTGTTTTTTGACACTAATTTCATTTTTATGTATTCAATTGAATAAATGAAAAGACAAAATAAGGGTGCAGAACGAGAAAACAAGAGTGAAAATCATTGCCCAAACAACCGAATAAGATAACAAGAGCAAGATAATCGTTTTCCACAATTTGAGCAGTTAGGTTAGTTCAATGGTATTTTCCGAAATTCGAGACGAAATATTGGGCATTTATGTCATTTCATCTTTACCACAAGCTGCCTCGTCTCAGATTAAAAGCCTTCACACCAGCTGCTTCCATTTGAAAAATGAGAGACAAACTCAGTTCCCCTGAATCTTCATCTTATAGAATGATGAGAATTCAGCATCTCAGATTTGTATGTGTGGCCTTCATGATCATGCTTTTGATCAGTCAGATATCGAGTTATCGTCGCATCGATAGAATGAAATTTGAAGGAGCCAAGCAAACTGAAAAAACTGGATTCTACTCCAGAAATTCATGGCATGTCTCCAGAGAAGCTCCAGAGGAGGGATCTCGTGTGACCGACCGAGTTACCCGCGTTTCCCTAAGAGAAGTTCCACAGGGACCAAACCCACTTCACAACTGATCAGCCTTCTTGCAACTATATTTGTGTATTCTCAGTCATACAGTATTATTTTTGCAGTTTCGGTGTAAATCATTTCTTTTTTTTTTTCTAGTGAAAAATGTTAAGAGTGAATGTAGTTTATGAAGAAAGTGTGGCTGTAAACAGTTTTGGATTCAAATGATTAAAACTATTAGCATGCACATAAAATCTGCACTTGATTTCTGGAGATTTTGCACTTGTTCTCGGGAGTAAAATTATTATTTTCTTTAGCACATGAAAAATATTATTCTAAATGAACAAAACAATATTAAAAATATATAGCAAGTGGTCGATTGCTCTGGTCCCAGGTGGCGCATAAGATCTTTATTTTCCAATCCACTACAGCTCGGATTCAAAAGCTTCCCTGAATTTAGTATAGTTCATATTAGTAATATCGCTTGTAACAAAAAGAAAAAGTTAATTAAGAATTAGTTTATATGGTCTTTCTTTTCCAATCCACTACGGCTCTTGTTTCTTGGTCTTTCTTTTCAAATCCATTACGGCTCTTGTTTCAAATTCTTCCCTCATTTTATTGTAGCTCATATTAGTAATATGGCTTGTAATTTAAAATAAAAAATTAGTAATCAGTTGATATGGTCTTTCTTTTCCAATCCACTATGACTCACATTCAAACATTTCCCTCATTTTGATGTAGCTCATATTAGTAATATCGCTTATAATAAAAAAAATTAAATTAATAATTAATGGATAAGGTCTTTATTTTCCAATCCACTATAGCTCGGACTCAAACTCTTCCTCATTTTAGTGTAGCTCAGATCAATAATATCACTTGTAAAAAAATATTTTAAATTAGGAATCAATGGATAGGGACTTTCTTTTCCAAACCACCACAGCTCGGATTCAAACCCTTTCTTCATTTTTGTGGTTTTCAGATCAATAATAGCGCTTGTAATAAAAAAAATAATAAATTAGGAATTAGTGGATATGGTCTTTCTTTCCCAATCAATACAGATTCAAACTCTTCCCTCATTTAAGTGTAGCTCATATTAGTAATATTACTCGTAATAAAAAAAAAATAATTAGGAATCAGTGATTGGATCTTTCTTTTCTAATTCATTACGACTCTGATTCAAACTCTTCCCTCATTTTAGTGTAGCTCAGATCAGTGATATCAATTGTAATAAAAAAAATTAAAATTAGAAATCAATGGATATGATCTTCTTTTTTGTTTTTTGTTTTTCTTTTTCCAATCCATTACGGCTCGGATTCAAACTCTTCCCTCATTTTAATTTAGCTCATATTAGTAATATTGCTTGTAATAAAACAATTAAAAATTAGGAATCATTGGATAGGATCTTTATTTTCCAAACCACTATGGCTCGAATTCACACCCTTCCCTCATTTTAGTGTAGCTCAGATTAGTAATATCACTTGTAACAAAAGGAGTTTAAAATTAAAAAATAATGAATGGGCCTTTCTTTTCCAATCCACTACAGCTCGGATTCAAACTCTTCCCTCAATTTAGTGTAGCTCATATTAGTAATATCGCTTGTAATAAAAATAAAAATTAAAAATTAGGAATCATTGAATAAGTTCTTTCTTTTCCAATCTACAATGGTTCAGATTTAAACCCTTCTCTCATTTTAGTGTAGCTCAGATCATTAATATCACTTGGAAAAAAAAAATTAAATTTAAGAATCAGCAGATTGGGTCTTTCTTTTCAAATCCTACCACTCAGATTCAAATTCTTCCCTCATTTTAGTGTAGCTCAGATTAGTCATATGACTTGTAATAAAAAAAAGGCCTAATCAGATAAATGATCCTCGTGGTCATAAGGTATTCAGATGATAGCCCTTGTGGTAAAAATTCAGATTTAAACCCCTGTGGTCACAGTCTGTTAGGATTTAAACCCTTGTGGTCTAAGTCTGTTAGGATTTATGCCCTTCTGTCATTCCTCCATTAGGTTTAGGTTGGAAAAATCAGATAAATGGTCCCCGTGATCATAAGGTATTAGGAAAATAGTCCCTGTGGTAAAAAAAAATTCGGATTTAAACCCCTGTGGTCTAAGTTTGTTAGGATTTATGCCTGAAACTAAAGGTTTTGTCATTTCTCCGCTAAGCTTACAAGTGGAGCAGAGTTTCTCTAAGGAGACGCGACAGTACGAGGTGGAACTAATAAATCACATAATTCATTAAAATTCAAGATCTAATAAATCAAATAATTCAAAATGCCTTTATAAAATTAACGAGTTTTTGACTCTCGAATATCCAACCGATTAATTAATTCTTTATAACATATTCTATTTTTCTTTGACAAATAAGACAGTGATCGTTGGTGTTTTCCCAGAATTTTACGTAAACCTCTCTGAGATAAATAGTTTTTTTGTGTAATTGTAAATGTGAAGTAAGTCTTTGTATCCTATTGGTGAAACTAACTATTTGAAATTCAACAGATCCTCTGTTTTTGTCTTTTTCTTCTTGTGAAATAACTGAGATGAATGAATTTTTTTACCATAAACTGAAATCTTCTCTCCCCCCCCCCTTCTTTTTATTGTAAGATATTTTTTTATTGATAGATACTCAGAGAAACTCTGCTCCACTTGTAAGCTTAACGAAGGAATGACATAACCTTTAATTTCATGCATAAATCCTAATAGACTTAGACCATAGGGGTTTAAATCCGAATTTTTTCTACCACAAGGGCTATCTTTCGAATTTCTTATGACCACGGGGACCATTTATCCAATTTGGCCAACCTAAACCTAATGGAGGAATGACAGAAGGGCATAAATCCTAACAGACTTAGACCACAAGGGTTTAAATTCTAACAGACTGTGACCACAGGGGTTGAAATCCGAATTTTTTTACCACAGGAGCTATCATCCGAATACCTTATGACCACGGGGACCATTTATCTGATTAGGCCTAAAAAAAAAATTCTAAAACTGGGAATCAGTGGATGGGGTCTTCCTTTTCCAATCCACTATTGCTCGGATTCAAACCCTTCCCTCATTTTAGTGTAGCTCAGATTAGTAATATCACTTGTAATAATAAAAAATAAAAATAAAAAAGCTTAAAATTAGGAATCAAAGAGTTGTAAGAAAAAAGGTGAGAACCAACAAACCAAGTTCTTGCCGGAAAAGGTTTTTTTTTTTTTTTTTTTTCAATGTACAAGACTTGTCAAGACATGACTAGGTAACTTTTTTTTCAAAGTACAAGACTTGTCAAGACATGACTAGGTAACTGGAGTTGCGTCGCCAACAAGAAGTTGTTAACATAAGAAGTGAACATGCAAACACGTAATTGATTTTTGGCTTGAATTTGGTGGAACACAATTTGGATTCTTATGGAATATAAAATTATCTGAAATGCATAATATTAATAATTTAGTTGCATATTATTATGCGTTTAGTTTTTTTCTGTAACGAAGTCAAACAATGCATTTGGAAGGATCCTATAAGTCATTCAGAAACCAGATAGAAGGTTAATGTTGCAAGCAACAAGCGCTATGGAAGTTTGACTGATAAATCATTCAAGATACAAGAAAAATACGTACATTCCTACAGTACAATGCACAATTTTCGCTTGTAATCTCGAAGAATTGGACGGATTAGATTAAAGTAATCCCGTACGAGGATTTTGAAGAAGACGGAGTGAGTACCTGGTTGAAAGAACAAAGCTGGAGAAACCAGCTTGCATACTTAGTGCTTAAATTAAACAGATTGAGCAAGAATGCATGCTCAAAACCCTGCAGGGACACATATGAATATTATGAGATATACCTCTTTTCGTATACTCTTCGGTTTTGATGAATAAGGGTAACACACCTCACAGGATCCTCTCTACATAATCTCATTGCCAACTGGATGAACTGAAAAATGAACAGAAATTGTTTTCCGAGTGATTTGCTCGAATTTCGACTTCCATATCTGCAGTTTGGTAAAATTTCCGAATGTTAGAGATGTGTTGGTTGAGTGAAACAGAGACAAACCTAGAATTACGATCCCAAAATGTCTCTCGAACCTTAAATTAGCCGGGGATCATAATTATATATATAAAAACGACGCTGAAAGAACAAAAAGAGCTAAGAATGTAGCCAAAACATTGGGAAGAACGGTATTTTTCATCATGTAAGATTAGATAAAAACACACTGGTAATAAGCGAGTTCATGCCACAGTGGATGGGGAAATTGGATTCAAGTATACTTACTTTTTTGTATTCTGAGCTTCCCATGAATATCTCAAAAGCGTCAACTACAAGTTATACAGTGAATGAAAGTTATCAAAGTGAAGGTAGCATGTATCTGAATCTAAATAAGGCAACGAGCGCTCACAGGACCGAAATCTGATCACTACTCCATGTGTATACTCCTTGCTGCTGAGATTAAGATTCAGACCTGCCAACGAAATAGTAACAAGTTACCATAGGGATACTTCGTAACAAAAATACGAATTTTCCCACTATTTCACCAGAATAAATGTTATATAAACACAACCAAAACAACCTAGAAACAAGAGTTGACAAAATCGAGATGCCTTGTTTTAGGGTTCAAGTGAATTATTTTCCACTAAGAGTGAAAAGTATAAAGAGATGGCTTTTAGCTCAAGCAAACCTCGAGTAGATTGGACAATCAAGGATGGAAATCCCACAATTAGTTCTTCCAAAGAAACCAATGCCTCTTCCACATGTCCAGATGCACTATCAACAAACGATAGCAGAAGCACAAATTCCACACCGAAGTTGAATTCCTGCTTGCAAGAGTAGTTAGCATAGCATTCCCTTTCGAGATTTCTTTTACACCCAAACCCGACAAACATAAATTATATGGATATATTAAGATGTGGAATGAGAATTCAAAAGTTTGATCCCAACCAATTTAGTTAAAAGGGATAGTAAAATTTAATTGAAAGTAAGCAAGTCCTGTGTAATCGCAAGCATTTACACTCTTTTCTGCACGTGCATTATGTAGTCCCCAATCCCAATAGGATTGTATCGCATAAATAAAACAAAAACCAGTAAGGATGTCGTTTCAAACCTCTCCTTTGCGGAATATTGGAACAATATCATCTTCTACTTCAGATTCGTAGTGGACATTAAGCAATTCCTGTGTATGTACCATAAATTCCAGTCCAATAAGTTGAAAAAAATGTTAAATGCAAAATTAACAGAAATCGAAGCCTAAAGAACAGAGTGTCGGTGTTTACATGTCAGGGCATACATGGCAGTAAGGGAATACATGCTCCTTCAGAACTCGCATGTAGAAAGGGTTCTCATAAAACTTGCTAATGTCTTCATTTCTCTGGAAGCGCATGTAGACAGCGTGGGTATACTTGTCAGGGTTTTGATCAGAGACACGTCCTAAATGAGCGATTGAGAACATATAAGCCCTTGTAATAGTGCAAATCGGACAAAGAAAAGCCACCAAAATCAACCAAGTATTTTGAGTAAAACTCACCTAGTGATATGGCGAGAATGCCTCGCATTTGATACTGGGTTGTATAGAGATAATCCAGCATATCCTTCTCTTCTTCATCAGATAAATCCTGCTTCGCTTTGAGCAGGCTTACGTGTTCCACGATTTTCCTGTGGAAAGTACAAGATCATTACCTTTGCATGTAAACAGGTGAATGCATTGGCTGACCACATTAAGTGACAATTGATAATGTCTAGTAACACCACATGACCACATATGTTCTGACCACATTATGCGACAGTTGACGTGTCCGATAACAACCAGACATAAAAACTTTCATAAAACAAGTGAATCCACCTTCTACGTGACATGATTGTATGATGTGATACAAATGCAATTCAAAACATAGAACTGTGAGAGATGGGCTCTCTACGCCAATGAAGCTCCTTCGAAATTCAACCCCACCAAGCCAATCTCAATTTTACATGAAAAAATAAAAGTTCAGAACACGAATAGGATTATAATGACAACAATTGGAAGAGTTATGAACCTTTTCTTCTGCACATTGAGGCTCGAGCTCTGCTCCTCCGTAGCCGAAACCAACACTCCCCCATTCTTTTTCTTCCCCAGCCATGTTCTCACAACTCCGTACGACCGGAAAACTGACCATAGATAATTAAAATTGCACCAAAAAATCCCAAGAAAAAAAACACTGAAGAACAAAGAACAAAAAACCGAGTCGAAACTAAGAAATTCGTATTACCGTTAAAAGGGGCAGGGCGGGGAATGAGAAGGCACCGGCGACGGGGGTTTGTGAGGCGAATGGGAGAGAGTACGGAGCACTGAGATTGAATGAGCATCGTGGCGTTGCGTGATCCTGAGATTGAATGCACTGAGATAGTTTTATTTATATCAAATTAGGGGGACGATCTCTTCCGGTATAAAATGGGTGGACAGGGAAAAACGAACTTTTAAATTTGTGGGTTTAAAATTGGCGCTTAGTTATTGAAGTTACCTAATTGCCCTTTCGGGAACTATTATTATTTAGTACAGGGTGCATTTTTAACAAGACGATAATGTGTATTCCAAACTATTCTAACTTTCGAGATGGGGAATCCCAACTAGTTGTGCAATGAAGAAGTGACCACACTACACTCACTACTAACTGACTTAATCAATATCTACAACATTCAGTGTTTTAAAAAACTCGTTTTGGGGCGCGCCTAGATTGCCTTAGAGGCGGGGCGGCAACATTTTCGCCTTTGTTTTTTGGGAGTTGGCAAAATACTTACCTAGGCTTTATGGGGTGCGCGAGGCGGGGCGACAACATTTTCGCCTCTATTTTTTGGGAGTCCGCAAAATACTTGCCTATGCTTCGTGGGGTGCGCTTGAGGCGCATCTTCTTTTTTAAGTTGTAGAAATTTGGAATTCTCTTGAGTTGTAGAGTTTGCCCAGTGAAGAAAATGAAGATAGCTAGGGTTTTATTTTCCCACCATCTTCCTTTATGTTTACTTTTAGTTATGCGTTTTTACAAAGTATTAAATATATATATATATATGTGTGTGTGTGTGTGTGTGTGTGTGTGTGTGTGTGTATTAAAAATTTAGGTTTCTTAAGGCTTCATCTCATACCTCAAGACTTTCGCCTAGACGGGACTATCCATGAAACATCCCATCCATGCCTTCATGCCTTTGCCCTTTAAAACATTGACAGCATCTTATGCAAAATAAATACGTTGATTGAAGCCTTTGAGGTGTCTTGTGCCTCTTTAACTTCCATTTCTGAGGGGTGCTTGGCAAACAAGTCCCAGAAAACCTCATTTACAGTCAAATGCGGCGTTTTGATTCTCAAAGTGTTTTTCACTAGCATTAATAGTTGTCACTTGGCTAATCTGATTAATACATCTGTTTTAATACACTCTTTGGACCATACAAGCCCTCAGAGATCTTTCACATAAACTTCATGATTGTAAATGCAATCACATATTCGAAGGCCCTACCCAAAAGGTTTTGCCTCGAGAGTATAACCACGCAACTTGCCAAAGAGGACGGCTTGATCTAGTTCTTTAGGTTTTGGAAAAGCTCCGGCAGATGGGCGTTTGTAAGCTTGGTCCTCTTTGTGATCTCGTGCTTCTTCTTCTTGGGTTTGGATTTGCTAGGAATGCCTTGACTCTGTGCCAAGGCCCTTCTTTTTGCAGTATCGGTGGCCGGCTTCATCCCATTCTTCTGGAGCTCTTTCTCAATGTCAATCATATCACGCGGCAACTCAATCCCCCTAAAGAGCACCTTAAGGTCATCGTCAACCTTGGAGGCAGGCAACCTGGGGTCGTTTGGATATGCTATGTCCTCTTGTGAATCAAAGTTTGAAAGCAGCCAGATATCACCCGAAGCTTTCAAAGCCTAGAAAATAATTTCTCTTTCTAAGATTCCACAGTAAGAGTAGCAATCCAGAGACTACAAATTACATCGCAGCATATAACAGCAGACAAGCCTCAACCAAAAACTGAAAGTTTGGATGAAAAAACAAGATGCATAGCCATTTTCCTTCATAAAATCAAAAGAAGGAAGAAATCTATTACGACATCTTTAAGACCAAAGATGTAGAAGTCTCTTTTGGGGTCACCATACTAACCTAAAGGCATTAAGAACAGTTCCTAACAGGTGCCGCCATAATGGCCTCGGTAAAAGCAATAGGGCTAAAGAGAAATGAAAACTTCAATTCTCTGTAGTTCATCAAATTCACTAAATATGCAAAAGTTATAAAGAACCACGGGCATTCCATCTGTGTACTTTACTAGGTATAACATCAAAACACTGTGGGACCTCTCTCTCGCACACAAAGACAGTCGCATTATTTTTTGGGTAGGGGGAGGAATCTCTAAGATATCTAAAAGGTAAATACAGTATTGTATGATGTCATCTGCTATACCATGATTCATCAAATAAGTCGAAAATGTACAAATAATATATACCTGTAAATCGTCCATCACATTTGGGTAAGCATCCTTGAGATCAATGACCGGTATACCCTCTGAAAATTTCCGTACTAGGGACAGAAGCTGTTTTTTGTCCATGATACGATGTTTGGACTACAGATAAAAAAATACAAGTGAAGACGTCATCCTTCATGGAGGTTAAACAAGAAGGCCATTTATAAATAATTCAAATGATATATAAAATCATAAGCATCCTGGTCTACTCGGGCATATAGTTAGATAAAATTCACAGTTACCTTATAAGAGAAGCTCTTCCCATCATAAGAAACTTTTAGGTTATTCCTCAGACTGTCAAAGACAGCTTTGTTAGCATTCACATCTACATAACATTCTTGATTAATTTGCTCTGGTGTATACGAAAGCCTTGTCTGCAAAAATATGTAAAACAGATATTCAAAGTCATCAGATGAGTCCAAGCTGGCATCTCTCTTATCAAAAAGCAGGAAAGAGAAAACAACAAAAAAGAGCTGGGAAAGGGAGGGAGAGTAAAAGGTGTTTCCAGGAAAGCACCAAATTGCTCCAACAAAATTATAGATTAATGCCAATGTTAGCACCTAGTGAATTTCTAATAGCCACAACTGAACCCGTGGCAAAGCTAATATTTTTAAGCACAAAAACTCTTCCATCTAAACTGATACTCCCCATCTTAACCTCGCAAATATTCTGTTATAGGCATCAAGAAGATCAGAAATAAGCAGTCGCTTCAGCACAGCCCTCTTGTATATATTATATGCAAATGCTGATTTATTTCTGAAGTCTGTTATTTGTTTATGTTTTAGTAGAAACAAATTTTAATGCAGAAAACAATAAAATTACACATGCAATGGACAAGATGGCCATAACAGGAATGCAAAAGCATAAGAAAAAGCATGGAAGCAAGTGTTCTCAAACACTAAGACATAAACCACATAACACAACACGACACCTAGTATATAGCAAGATCAACCCCTGAATACTAGAATAAGATCAAGCCCTGAATTCTCTAGTGAGGCCCATAATGATGACCAAGATAAAAAAAAAATTCCAATAAAATCTGTGTCCCACCACCTGCAACATCTTCGAAAATCATAGCCAAACATCCCAAATAACTAGCCAATAGTATGCGCCCCCATAAAACTTTGGTTTTCCTCCCCCACCCTGGTAATTAAATTTCTCAGATAAAACGGAGAAAACATACTCCAAACTCCCTGAACAAGCACCACCAAAGACTCAAAAAACCACAGGACAACATATAAAAACATGATCTCCAGATCCCCGTCACTCTAGCATAGGATGCACCACAGAGGATAAAGGCATGAGTTGGCTCTCCTCCTTGGAATCATGTTGGGAGTATTGACCTTTTTATGAGCCACTAACCAAGTAGCAAACTTCACTTTGGGAGGAATTCATCTTTCGTGACCAAAACTATATATATAAGTACAACTCACATATGTTCATCAACCACAGGCAGATGTAGAAAATAGCGTAAGCCAATTTCTATACCCTTGCTGCTCACGCTAGGTGCTCTAGATACTGATCAATCATCAGCTTTACATAAATTTTTCTAGCTATGTGAATCTCCAAAAAACACTACAAACATAACCAATTTTGGCATGCGGTCCACTATTTTACAATTATTTTTTTTATCGTTTTGTTAAGCAAAAAGATTTTTTTTTGGGGGGGGGGGGGGGGAGTGGAAACAACCCACTACTGTCTCACCAGATGGGACTTACGGTAGGACACAGAAGTCACCACCATCCAAATCCGCAGGCACACCAATAAGTTACATGCCAAGAATATCTGCACTAACCTCTACCAATTATCTTGAAATGACGCTGATAACAAATTGTAATGGTTCACAAAAAGCCTGCTCATTACAATACTGTACGGAACAACAGGAAACTCAAAACATGGGGTTCAGATGAGCTTGTAGCTCAACCATGGACACCTCAATTTCTTTTCGTGAATCGTGATTCAAAGTACACACACCACACGGTTATGATTTATTATGATTCATTAGTAGAGTTGTAAATGAAACAATATAATAGTCATTTACATCAAGTAAATAAAGGGAGAAAATGTGGGTTTAGTTCGAACCTCCCGCAACAGGTCTATAACACGCTTGATCTGAGCTCCAACAGGGGCTTTCCGTATGCTATTAATATGTTGAAGTCTCTCCGTATCATTTGAAAATTTGACAGCTGGTGCAGGAGCCTTAGTGACCGCAGGCGCAGGTCTTGGTGTTGCTGTGGCCCTATCAGATGCAATGCCAATAAGAAGTGACTGTGCGCTCTCTTGCTGCTTCTTGAACCTATTTAAACTCTCTTTCAACGCCATCTGCAATTCACAAAGTTTACTTAGAACTCATCACATCTGTTAAAAAAGTATAGAAAGATGTAATAAGTATACAATGCAAAATCAAGCTTATACACGAATATCAAAATTGAAACTAAAACAAGCTATTGCAAGCGGTGGAGTACACTGGGTAGGGCCTTCGCCTTCCTCATAAACCCACTGCATCCTGGGTTCAAACCCTCCCCCCACTCCGTAGTTTAAATGAATTTAATGTAAATTATCAGATCGATTGTAAAAAAAAATCCACAATCTTTCAATCTCCAAGAGTACACACGCAATCTCAAATTACTTCATTTCAATTGATTTTTATTATCAAGCTCCAGTTTTTTGATTAAAAAACGAACATGGCATATTTCTAACACCAATCAGAAATTGAAAAAAAATTCACAGGTCACGGATGAACATAATGGAATCGATAAAATCATAAACCCCCATCTCCAATCCCTCTCCGTCCAAAGTGGTTCACTTTGGTGACACCAATTCATCAGAGTAAGAAGTAAGAAAGAAGGTAATTTCAAGTAAAAACCCACAAAAATCCAAATTTTTTCCTTTTTTAATTTATAATTTACTCTTTCAACTTCTGGGCGCTTGCGATGTTTGCCTAATTCCCATCACAGAAATCAAACTGAGCGGCCTAAACATGGTGTGTAAATAGATGAAACGATTCATGAATTCAACAGAAAAGGAACCCTAAAACAGGTAATCGAATACGCATTCGGGTAGAAATTTGAATTTTAGATGGATAAAATTCGAAATTAAGCACTAGTTTCTACATACCCGAAAGCTAGAGAGGGAGAACGAGTAGCGAAAGAACAAAAGCTTACCGAAGACAGCTCGAGATGACTCGGATGAAGGGCTGCTACCGTAGGAGATATGGGAGAACAAATGGGGGGATCGGGTGCTAATCAAACATTTTAATTTGGATAAATTATATTTTACCCCTTCTTCGGGTATGGGGGCAAGTGTAACCTCATACCACAATTAAAAGATTTATTAAATTTGTCCTTTGACCTATTTTTTAATTAAAATTTAACGGCAGGTGATCGATCGAGTTTACAACATATCTTAAAATAGTAAATACGGTAATAAATCATACAAAGAAAAATGCAAAAATGCAAATGGATAACAAGGTATTGTTAGCGAGAAAATAATTATTTATACAGCTTACTTTGGGTTCAATCCACCAATTTTCGGAAGAGGATTTCTCTGGATCTAACATCACATGGTATTTGTGTTTAAATTTAAATTAAAGAGTCAAATGATTTTTATCTTTACGATATACGATGGATGATTAAAGTACATAAATTCCTAATATTCTTATTATTTTGGATTCGAATGAGAGCCAGATTCCCAATTTTCTTCTTACAATTTAGTCTAGTTACGCTATCGTTTGTAAGGGAAAAAAACAAAAAGAGGGAGAGATTGAGAATCGAGGAACACGTGTGCCGCAACATTTGACTCCGGTCCAATCCAATCCACAATGTTCACTAACATACGTTTAGCCGTTTGCTAATTCTCAATACACTTTCACTTCCTTTTTACTTCACAAGACCTGGAGATACCAAACACCCTCGATAACACCCAAACTTTGATCGCCGAACAACGCTCAGATTCCCGCGTCTCGTCTCCGGAGACTTCGTATTCCCGCCAAAATGGTGGCCAAGAGCTCGCCGGACTGGCTCCCGCCCGGCTGGTCCGTCCAATCCAGAGACCAAAAGAGAGGTCGCAAAATTGAGGTAATACTTTCGCCAATTTCGTTCTTCTGCCTTCCTAGGGTTTGACTTGAAACCAGACAATCTTGGTTTTCAATTGGTCCCGTTAGCTTGTGGCTGAGCTTCCATAGTTGAAAGCTTGTAGCTTTGATTGTGTTAATTTGGCCCGTGTTTCTCTCTTTAGCTTCATACAAGTTTTGTATGATAACTGCATGTCACATTTTCATGGCCTTGATGATTTCGATGATATGCGAGTGCGCCTTTTTGCGAAAAAGTGTGCTTGGTTGATGAAAAGGAATTGCATGTTGGGTGTTGCGTGATTCCGGTTGTTTTTAGCTAATAAGTTTTGCATTTTTAGGAAATTCTGAAGGTTTCTGTTCTGGGATTAGTAGATTGACTTAAATTACATGCTGTACGGTCTCATGCCGTGATTGTTTGTTCGCTGCACGGAAACAGTCTAGTTTATAAAGGAAGATTTTGTCGTGCTCGGGGTTTTGGGAGTGTGCGTTGTCTTTCTCTTGCGTAGATTCCAAAAGAAGTGCATCAGGAGTTATTGATTGATCTTGCTGCCCAAAAATGACTGTTTATTAGGTATAGATGCAAACGTCAGTGTCATGGCTCATTAAACTCTCTTTGGGGTTTTTTGTGTCATTTCTGGTGTTGATGACGGACATATTGCTTGAGCTGGCAGTTGCAAAATGACTGTTGTGAGTGAAGTATTGGAATCTGAAACGAAAATGGATATCTTATCGTTATGTCAGAGGAATAATGTTTAACTTCTTCCTATTCTGTTCCAATCTTGATGACCTAATTGAGCAATAGTTGGAAAAGATATTAGCTAATATGGAAACTTTACAATCAAAAGATCATGTGATTGTGTTATCGCTAAGTTCATATCACGTTGGTGTCTGCAGTTTTATATCCATTTGGAAACTGGGAAAAAGTTCTTCTCTAAGGATGATGCTGTGCGCTATATCAAAATGGAAAACACGCGCGGTAAAAAGCCTCAGCCAACTTCTGTGCAGATCCCAAACCACTCAGAAGAAGTTCCTTCTCAAGTAAGTCTTTTTCCTTTTTTAGGCTTTTCTCTAAACCATTTGCTAGGTTCATCTATTTGATTGGGCTTGTTTATTATCAAAAGCTTGAAGTGGACCCAACCGAATATCCTGAATGGTTGCCTAACGGTTGGAAAGTGGAGCTGAGGATACGACAAAGTGGTGTGCAAGTTGGAAGAGAATACAAGGTAACGTTTATGTGCATTTTTTGTGTGCATTGCCGTCATTGTCTAGTGAATTTATACTTAATACCTTTTTAGCCTTTTATTATAAGGCCATTACTAGTGGCTTGGCAATTAATTTTACCAAGGAAATCCTGGTTTGTTATTAATCATGATTTCCAAAACACATGGTCAGCCTGGCACATGTATATTTGACATGTTTGTGAGATATGTCAGGGCTCAGTATTTACGTTTGTATCAATGACTTGATAGCATTTCACATTGAATACTTTTTCTAGCATATCAGATTTTGCCATCCAAAATTTGCCCCAAGAGTATGTCAAATTAGTTGTGCACATAATAGTGCTACAGTTATTTTAGCAAAAATTTAGTAGCATTCCATTGCATATTAGATGTCAAACTTTCAAAAAGAAAAGGTTGAAGCAAGTAATAATTTATTCCTTTGAATGCTATAGGTTAGAAATAAGTATTAGGATAATGGTTTTGGTCCGTTTGAAGGATGCTAGGTGTTAAATTACATTGTATTCGTGTAAATGTTATTAGTGCACTTATTCATATTAATGCTAGGTGTTAAACTATATTCTATGAAGGATGCTAGGCATTAAATTCTTTGGTGCCACTATTATCTTTGGCGCTAATACGTCATTAAGTCGTTAGCAAAGATTCCTGTATGGTAGAATCCTAGAAATTGTTTACCCTTTATTCATGTCTTGCAGACTTGTTCCAACCATAAACTTTAATATCTTTTCTAAATCCATTCACAATGAGATTGTATGTTGTTGTATTCTGTGGTCTAAGTACCTGTCTTACGTACAACTTAAAGAGCGGGTTGATGTGGTTTTACAAAACTAGTCTTGTAACTTTCCTGTTAAAGTTGATAGTAAACTATGAAGAAACATTGACTTGAGCAATTTTCCTAATTGCAGTGTTACATTGATCCCTCCAGAGAATGTACATTCTATTCCAAGCCAGAGGTATTTCGGTATCTCAAAACTGTAAAACGGAAGAGCTCGAAGTCAGGAAATCTCAAATCTACAAGCAGCAAGAGATGCATAACCGAAGGGAAGGCTGTCACTACCTTGCAGCTGACAAAAAATGTTTGTTTCCTTGGATATTCTCTTGCTGTAATTTCTTTTTCATACTTATTTGGATGGGACAAAAATTCTAAAAGAACGACCCAAAAAGAAGCTCCATGGTTTATGAATTGAATTCCTCAGTCCAAAAGAAATCAAAATCTAGCTACAATCAGTTTTCTTTAGAAGCTGTGTTCTTAACTTCATAGAAAAGCCTAAAGTAGAGAACACTTAGCATTTTACGTGATGTAATATTTTAAGGAAGTTTACCATTTGAGTCCTGATTCAACTATCTGCCTCCTTGGTAAATTTTTCCTACAATCACATTCCATCCCGTAAATGGCCAAAAACATCAACCTGATGACTACTAGAATTTTCCTATCTTTTTACTTTTTCATATGGTTGAGTTCCCCTTGGTCATTTATCTGGGTCGTTTAGTATATAAAAATCAAAGCATGGAAAATGGCATAAGATATCTGAGCTAAGTCATTATCTGCTTTCTACCTTAATCATTGGAATCAAATGGATTAGGGAAATAGGTTCCTGCTGAAATACTTGTATAAGGGTTGTTGGATAAATATAATTTTGTGGTATTTTAGGATCACTTTTCCCGCTACTGTTTTTTGATATAACTTCTCCTACTACTGTTGAATGATGATGTTTTGGGTATACCTGAAAGGTAGAACAGTGAACTACTTCACTAAACATTACCACTATTAGAGTTTAGTCCAGCCTGCCAGACATCCATTGTAGTTTGATTGTGAAAAAGAGAAGTTCTAAACTTTATATTATGTTTCGTCTAAAAAAATAAAAATAAAAGAAAAGTAATAAACTGTTTCTGCGAAAATCATCCTAAGCCTGAGGTGCCCTGATATTGACGGCACCTCATTTCCATATCGAAGTATGAAGATGGTAGTGTTAGGGGACTACTCATTGCAGGTTTCTATTGCATGACATACTGAAGCTACCGAACGAATGATTGCATTCCGTTTACGAAATTCATGTTATTACATTTGTTTAATCCAATGATTGTTGATGTATAATTTAGGTTTATGTTGAGAAGCATCATGTGGAGGATTTACCACCGGGATGGATAAAGGAGATCAAAGTTACAAAGTATGCAAATCGATTTAGAAAAGACCCGGTATAAAATCAGTTACCCTGATACTTATTCCAGCTGATGTTGGTTCTGTTCATCACCCCATCTCTCTATCTCTTCATGCATAGTACACATGCTCATGTGCTTTCCATGCTTAGTCTTACTCTATTAATAATCCAACTAGTTGCAGTTTGTTTCTATGAGTTCTTGACTATATATTATATGCTGATTTTTAGTGGTCCATTCCTTTGGACAGTATTACACAGATCCAGACTCTGGATACGTGTTCCGCTCCAAAAAGGATGTTATTTGCTATCTAGAAACTGGAGAGATCAGTAAACATGCATTTAAACCCAGGAATATGTGCGGGAATGTTCTAAAGTTAGCTAATGATGCAGTAAGTGCTATATCCATGCTGTTTTTTTTTTTTTTGTTCCCCCATCACCAATGTTCTCTGTTACTGCAATGTTGTTGTTCACTAGTGCAACACCAACATTATTTATTTGTATAAACAGTTTTAATGTTTAATGGAATCAGTTTGGAGTTTACACTGTAAAAAATCAGAATGCTTATTGTTGTATTCTTCGGAAACTTTAGTGCTAAAACATTATAACCCATGGTTACATGAAAATTTATTGATCATGTCAGATATGGTGTGATGCATGACTAACATGTGCAGAAACAAAATAAAGTTCAAGTGATATTCATTTATACTACTTTGAAAGACAGAATCTTTTTAATTTAGATCACTTATAACACTTCGAAAGTGTGTTCCAAGTAAAAACAGGGAGGACTAGGTGGAATTTGGGCTCTGATATTTTTTGTACAACATGATTAAGCTTAATCCAAAACAATACGTC